ACCTGTAGAAGATAGGAGATTTCTGGAAAGTTGTTATCGCTGATCACAGAACTGCTTTGCGAACTTGTGATAAATTGACTTATCCTAAGCATTTTTCTTTAGTGGCTCGTTTGCATATAGGTGTAAATGGAAGAATTTTACTTTTAGCATAGTTATTTTAAAAGCGGCCCTAAAAACAAGTAAGCTAGGTGAACAAACTGCCTATTGAGCTCACATTTTCCCCCTCAATAGTTTCTTATGTTATTGCCAACACATTACATCCCAAGAGGTACACCGGAAACCACTAGCTTTGCTATGCTTGGGATGACTAAAAGATGCTATTTACGTACTGGTTTGCACCAGTGAAATTAGCATTTGCTATATATGCTAGTTTTAAAAACATTGTTAATAATAAAAATAGTCTCTAAAATGAGATCTAGTCATGTTACATTAACTTTTTTTGGTAGAATAAAAATATAGATGACATATGTTTAATATTGGGTTTCTTAGGATCTACCCCCTTAAAAGCAGGCTCAGATTACATTGGATACAACAGGAGTTGTGTGTGTGTGCTTATTTTAGGGTAGAATTTGGCCGAAAGTTAAAACAAACATTTCTAAACATAGGTCATACAGAACAACAATCAATACTGTTATAGTGCTTATTAGGAAATAATGTTGTTTTGCACCTCCAAATCCACACAGAATGTCTCCATTTATACCCATATGTGTTCCCCTCATAGATCAACAATGAGTCAGCTTTACTTATTTGGAGAAAGAATAAAATTACCTGCTCCAAAAGCTCATGCCCTTGCATATTGGTAGAATCATTATCATTTTTAAATACAACTGTAAGGTTCCCTACATTTAAAAAACAAAATATTGACTGCAAAACATACCTCTCTCTTCAGTAATATGAACTGAAATGTATATGGTTTTCCCTGTATTAACAGTGGTTACTTCTTTCATTTTTTATGTATTCTCAGCTGACAGTAAAGCAAGAAGTCACTGTAAACATGTATAAGTCTGCAATTATTATTGAAGTCTTATATAGGTGTATATGTATTCTTTGAAATATACAAACAATTCACAATGTCTCTTTTGGAAATCCCTAATCTCTATACTGACAAAAGTTACCCACTAGAAACTTCTGAATGAAACCAGCAGACTGTGGGTGTGCTTCATACTCAGCAGACTAGGGTAGCTTCAATGGGCCTAGTGACAGTCACAGCAGTAAGTACCTACCCCTGTAGCAAGGGCCTCAGGGACTGGACCATGTGACAGAATGTATACAATCTAATGCAATGGGAAGGGCTGTTCTGTAACTGGGGCATGAGAATTTTCTTATAATGACTTGTATACAACAGTGTCTACACTATCCCCATACCAACGAGTGGTTGTCGACTGAAGTGCTACATCTCTCGTGGAGGTGGAGTACAGAAGTTGATTTTACAAGCCCTTTGGGTCGGCGGAAGGGACTCGGTAGTGTAGACGCAGGTTGAGTTAATAATGTATAACGCGGTTTATGTCAACCTAACTTTGTAGTGTAGACCAGGCCTCACAGTACATTGTCTCACTCTTCTCTCATAATCAGCCGTGCCATACAGAGATGCCTAAATTTGGGGTTTAGGATGATGCTTTACCTCTTTGGATCTGGGCCTTGAGAGTTGAAGTTGTCAGGTAGATTTGACAATGGCACTAATTGAAGTTATTACTAATGTTTCACATGGCTAATTTACATCAGAAATGGGAAGTCAGCCAACAGAATTATTACAAATCTTCTTCAAATTTTTGTTAAAGAACATAGCAGTTAAAATTAACTCTGGATGAAATATAATGTTGGGTTAAAATAGTACTGGTAACTTTTTTAGCTGTTAAATTAAAACATTGGAAAACAGAAAAATGCCTTCTCTTATGGTGCTGTTTTGGAGAAGGTGTATAAACTTGGGGATTGGTAAGCTGTTTTGAAGATACACACTGCTTATATCAGGTATTCCGGCAGAGAGAGAGAGAGAGAGGAAAGTACAATTAAAAGTCTAACTGTGTAGTTTATTTGGGAAAGAAATTTTGAGAAGACAGTCATGAATTTTATGTACATTGTATTTTTATATATTCATTTTTTTCATTTGTATGAAGCAGACCTGTTTGGCACATGTATATAATCTTATTGTAATGGATTAGATAGATATGCGGATTTGTGCTGTAGTAATATATATATTGATAGTATTGTGTACAAAAGTTGTATTTTGCTTCTTTCTTCATGGAAAAAATTAGTAGTAATGTATTTTAACACTTTAGAGAGAAGTAGGTAATCTTTCAGATTGCACAAGACCAGGCTGCTTGGGGATTTTGGGTGTCCCATTATGTCTTGGAGTGGCTGAGCCTCAGGTAATCAAGACAGGTGCTGATAGAGGGAGGAGAAGCAGAGAGAGACCAGGAAAGCTAGCAGAACTGCTTTTGTGGGAATTTTCTACTGACCTTAATAGACAATGAGATCCTTTCTAGTAATGTTTCAGTGGCCCTATAGAATTCTATTGCAGGGATATGATTTTCTATTAGAATGTATAGATTGGTTTGCAAATTTCTTGAAATAGATCTTATTATCTATTAAATTCTGTGGGTTTTAGAATGAATTTTGTAGAAGCCTATTTAGTATCTATTGAACTTTGTTGAGTTCATTCCTATGAAATTCTATAGGTGTTTTTTTGGGGGCTGGGGGGAGGGAATGAGAGGAGGAAAGAAGTCCAGGGAAATTGGTACATTTACTATAACATTCAGAATGAGTCTTGATAAAATAGTAGTGAACCAGTAGAAAAGAGAAACTTTTGGAGGTCATGAGAGAGATTCTAAATTTTTCAGTGAGAGATTTTAAATAAAGGTTTTTCGTGCCTCTTTTTTTCCCTTGAAGAATGTTCATTTTTGGTTTCTTTCTAATAACACACTCCCTCTTCCAAACCCTCTGGGGCTTATTATGAGTTTAATGAACAAAACCACAACTTCAGCAAAAGCAAATTTTCTGCTTAATTTGAAACCTGAATTAATCTGCAAAATACCAGGTATCAAATGGTTTTGGTTTTTTTGTGGTTTCTTTTAACTGAGCTTGGGCAGGGGAAGGAGTTGCAAAGAAAGCATTTTATTTCAAATGAACACTTGCAATTATATTCTCAGTGAGTAGTTTTAAGGAATAAATAGCTACAAGCCCAAAAGGAATTGAAACAGCATTGAACATTTTCTCTCTTATGAAGTATGAATCTAGAAGAAACACATTGGGAAGAGTGCCCTGTTTAAAATAATTGCAGAAATGGCCACATATAACTTCTTTAAAAAAATCACTCTACTTTCCTTATTTTGGCCAGATGTATTTTATAACATATGCTCATAAGACATCTTTGATTAATTTGTTAACAAACGCCTGATAACCGTGAAGTTGTGGCTTTGCAAATGCTTATCTGTAGCAAGGAATATCTGGTTATAGTTACTGGTATCATTTATATCATAGCTGATGTTTATTTTTTGTTACTGTCATTCTCAAGCCCATATATCAGCCCAGATACAGTTAAAGTTTTGTTATCAAAAATGCACTTCTGCAGGCTTGCCATTCTCTGGGGTGAGGCTTGCTGTTGACCATACAGCCCAGTCCTGCGCTCTTTTCTCATGCACTGCTCCCACTGATGTCTGTGGTGGATTTTGTTGTCACACCAAGGCCTGTAGGGGCCAGGTAGAATAAAGGAGTGTAAGTGGCAGGATGGTTTGCCAGGTGGATTAGCAAAAACCTTAAAAAACAACAGAAGCTGCCTGTGTTGTTCTTTGAGGCTTTCGGCAGGACATTGAGCAAGAAACCGTTTTAACAAATAAACAAAACAATTCATCTGATGCGGCAATAAAATAACAGAAACTCCAGCCTGTGTCATCACTTCACTCCTGTATGAGGTTTGGCATCTTTCTTACTCCAGAATAGGGGTGCTGGAACAATTTGTATACTGGGGGTGCTGAGATCCATTGAACCAAATTGTAAACCCTGTATACGATGGAAACCGCTTCAGGCCTGGAGGGGTGGCAGCACCCCTAGTTCCAGCACCCATTCTGCAGAATGTCCTCTCCTTCTGTGTTTCAAGATCCAGGCCTGATTCACCATTGCGTGACACCCAGTGAAGTCATGCAGTGCAAATGCTACCTATTTCAAGTAGCAGGATGGAATGTTCCATTCACTTTGCGCTGGTATAAATGACTACAGAAGATGCAGGGCAATGGTAAATCGGTAGACCCCTAGAGGTTTCCTTCCTGCCTGCTGGACAACTTGACTGGCTTGCAGTCTCCAGGATTGCCTCATTATGTCCTGTGAGCACCTGTGCAAAGAAGCGCAAAGTGAGCTAACGTTAATCCCCTTGTAGGCTAATGACCATATATTACCCCTGCATACTGCTACGATGTGGCATTGGCTCCTGTAAAAGCTATCGATTCCAAGCAGCATGGTATAAGACCCTGGAGTGAGCATAATTCTGTTAGCCTTCGTATAGATTCTGTAGTTGCATGGGAGCTGCAGACATGGCTCCAAATCATTAGCTTTCTTGAAGGGTGATCCAGTGGTTAGGGCATTCACTTTTTATTCAGGAGACACAGTTTCAATGTTCAATTCTCTGTTCTGCCACAGCCTCCCTGTGTTGACCTTGGGCAGATCAGACTCTCTCTGCCACATTCCTGTCTGTAAAATGGTGTAACAGCACTTCCCTACCTCACAAGAGTGTTTTCAGATTGAATACATTAAAGATTGTTTGGTACTAAAGTAATGATGGCTATATAAGTAACTAAGATAGAGAGATACCCAAAGCTCTGACCTCTTCTGCAATCACAGAGCAGGTCAAAGTAAGTGATGAGATACTGGTATCGCTCCCAAGAATTAATTTACTAGAACGGGTTACACTGGGCATCTCGGAAGGATGTTCCTGAAGGACTGCTGTTAAAAGAACATAGTTCATATTTTTACCAGGATCTGTTTTTTATGATATCTTATTTTAAATGCAGGTGAACCAAGGAAATTTGACCCAAAGTTCAGAGGACCTATTCACAACAGGTAAATATTTTCATTTAGTATATTTATACTCCGATTAGTTTTACTGTAAATAGAGAATTAAGAATGTCATTAATGGAGAAATGGTTTGATTTGGCTCAGATATATATATATATATATATATATATATATATAAACCAGAAGAAAGTGCTGGCGGTTATTCTTACTATAATTCAGGACTTCCAATTGCTGGGGGGGAGTCAGTGGGTGTACACCTTGGGAACTTCCAACACCACCCCCATATCCAGGGACAGCCCTTCTTTGTGCAATACCTTCCTTATAATATTACATTGATTTTAGTTTGACTATTCCTGAGTACTACTTGGCATGAATCAGGCTCATAATCATTGGACTGCTACCAGGGCCCAATCTTGCAGCTCTTACTTACCTGAATATTACTTATTCACATGAGTAGTCCTATTGAAGTTGGAGGGCCTACCTGTGAAAGCAAGGATTACAGAACCAGAACCCAAATGTTTCAATCTAATCATATGTTTAAGCAGCCTACTAACTGTGACCTCTCATGAGCCTGAGGAATTGTGACGTTCTGAAGCTGGTAACCAAGAAAAAAAGCAGCGTTACAGGCTTTGAGCTTGATCCTGCAGTGCTGACTGAGGTGAAATTTCCATTAGAGCGAATGGATGTTCAACATCGGTCAGGATCAGACCTCACTGCTTTGCAACAGTTCTTGGGCAGCCTAACAAATTAACGTACAATGCTTGGTTTTATCAACCTGTTTACTCTGTGATTCACTATTAAACAAATATGCAGTTACCATGACAATCTCTGCCACACCAGGAATTTTATGCTATTCTAGTTGTAAGTTCTACTGCAGCTTTTTAGAGAAACCATTATGTCATGTAAGCTCAATGGATTTTATAATGCTCTGGGGAGAAATGCAATCGAGGGACTTGATAATTTTCCTGATGTCTTACAGCCCTTTTTTTTTTTGTTTTGTTAAAATTAATGTGTAATTTATGGAATTTTACTTTTTTCCTAATCTTTATTTTTTCTGACTAAACAAGCAGCAAGTAGGGAGGAAAGATACTCCTTGGCAGTTTTTCCCCCCCTTCTGTTCCTGATCATCTTTTAACAGTAATGCCCTATGATATCAAAGAAGCATCCCTATAATTCCAGATTCTGGACATATTTTTTAATAATTTATATAACTAAAAAGTTTCCAGTGGCCACATTGGTATTACTATTGGCTAAAATTGTTCTTGACCCCAAATCATCCCCTTGTGATAAATTGGTTAGTGTGCATGTGTGAGATTGTCTCCTATTGGATGAAATCAGAATAGTTCAACTGTGTGTCCTACGACCTATTCTCCTGACAGCTAATGGAGATTTCTCTTATATGAAACACACACACAGGATGGTCTAGTGCAGTGGTTCTCAAACTTTTGTAGTGGTGACCCCTTTCACACAGCAAGCCTCTGAGTGAGACCTCCCCTTGTAAATTAAAAAAACTTTTTTATATTTAACACTATTATAAATGCTCAAGGTGAAGCGGGGTTTGGGATTGAGGCTGACAGCTCGCGACCCCCCAAGTAATAACCTCGTGACCCCCTGAGGGGTCACAACCCCCAGTTTCAGAACCCCTGGTGGTTAGAGTACTAGCTTAGCACTTGGAAGAACCAAATTTAATTCCTTGCTCTGTCACAGACTTCCTGTGTGATCTAGGGCAAGTCAGTGAGCCACTCAATGCCTCAATTCCCAGCCAGAAAATAGGGATGATAGAGAAGTGCTATCAAGAGGACTTGTGAGGATAAATATATTAAAGACTGTGAAGTGCTCAGATACTGCTATGATGGGCACCATATAAGTAACTTAGATAGACAATATACATAAGAGAAAAATGGTAGAAAACATAATTATGTTACAGAAAATGTCCTCTAAGATACCTCCCTCCTAAAGGAGTGTAAGACATTTATTAAAGTGCAATGAGCCATAACAGGCAATAGAAGTTCCCCAAATATGGAGCTGGACCTAACATCCTGCACCAAAATTCCAAGCTAATACAATCCAGCTAGTGGCTCCAGTGAACCAAGTGCATCCTCAGAGAAACTCCCTGCAGAGTCGACAGCAGTCAGAGGGACTTGCTCTGGCCTGTTTGTGGCCCAGGGACTTCGGAAGCCTTCTACTTCCTGTAGGAGAAGGAGAATAACAAAGGAGGTATAGACATATTTTTTGCCTATATGAGCAAAAATTCTAAAAATATGTGTGCAAGGCAAATCTCGTCTCCATTTGTACACACCTGGCCACAGGACATGTAAATCTGTATGTATATAATGGGTGGGGGAAAATGTGTCTCTAGTCCCTTCTGATAAACAGACTGACCTGGTCCTAACTTCATAATTAATCTGTTTGTATTGATAGGAGAATAAAGCTGTGTTCTTTTTTGCATATGAGAGGTACCTGAGACTCCCAGCTGCCAAGTTGTTCTTGTCAATATGTCAAGGTGTGGTTGCAGAAATAATTGTAGCAATGGCACATCCCATGATAGATGCTACAGAAGCTGACACTCGCTGATAGAGAGGGCTATAGACTATTTTATATGTATCCCTGCATCCGCCTTAACTAGTCACCCTAAATATCAATTTGCAATACCTTAGTCCTTCTAAGTTCTCAGCTGGGCAAAGGAATCTGCCATGTGGCGCTCCATTGAGTTCCATTGGACTCTGGGCAAAGGAGCTTAAAACAGAGGCATTGGAAGATTTCTTCCTCTAGTACTCCATCTAAGTTTAAAGAGTGGTTCTTCTCTGCAAAATAATTATGCAAAATTGACATTGTGAGGCTTCATGTTCATTGTGTTTCTGTGATTCCATATAAAATGTACTCAATTCACAATAAAAATATTTTGTTTTGAGTCTAATTGCTAGCGAACTACCAGATTTGGAGATGTGAAAATCGCATCATGGACTGTGAAATCTGGTCTCTGGCTGACCAGCTTGGAAGGCAGAGTGGTGAGCAGCAGCTGCTGGCCAGGTGTCAAGCTCTGAAGGCAGTGCTGCTGCCAGCAGCAGCACAGAAGTAAGAGCGACATGGTATGGTATTGCCACCCTTACTTCTGTGCTGCTGCTGGTGGCAGCGCTGCTTTCAGAGCTTGGCGCCCCGCAAGCAGCCGCTGTTCTCCTGCCACCCAGCTTCAGGCATCACTGCCAACAGCAGCCACACAGCAGTAAGGGTGGCAATACCGGGACCCCCCTACAATAAGCTTATGACCCCCTTTTGGGTTGGGGCCCCCAGTTTGTGAAATGCTGCAGAGAAATCACACATTTTTTGTGGGTTGGTCATGCACAAATAGCAAATTTCACAGATGTGTTACACATCTGCGAAATTTATGCTGTGACCAACCTGCCAAAAAATGTGTGATTTCTCTGCTATTTAAGTAGACCCCTACTAATTGCCAGTTCTGTAAACGCTACCTGGAATCTGAGAGTCAAGCTGAGTTCTTAGTAATTTGTGCTTTGTCATCATAAATACCGGGTGGGCTGAGCTGAGAAGTGCCTGTTTTCTGCTGCATGCTTTCCTGGGGATTGAATGGATGTGCAATGAGAAGTGGCTGCTGATAGAACCAGCAATAACTCTCCTCTGCACCTACTATCCTACCCACATCTTGTAATAATAAGGGGTTTAGAACACAGGCATGGCAACAGGTGAAAGGAGGCAATGAAAATCTTCCAAGTAATCCAACTGCTGGGGGAGGAGGGTGTAGGTTGAGGAGAGGTGAGGTTGCTTCATTAACCTGGGTCCATTCCCTTTGCAAGCCACACTCATTACCTCTGTACTGGGACATTTGTTTTACCATCCTGTGGCTTTATCTTCAGGAGAGCAGCATGTGGCCCAGAGACTGTGGTACAGATTTTTCCACCGTGGGTTAGTTAGCTATGATGATTCTTGTATTTTCATTTCTTTTTGTCCCTTTTAAAAGGAGGGAGAGTGATTGGCAATCACTGATTGCACATACTTAAAATGTTAAACAGCAGTGGATGAATAGAATGTTAAAGTAGCTTAAGGGCAAGTCTACACTACAAAATTAAGTCGTCCTAACATACGTTGGCATAGAGCCACCACAGTAATTAAACTGCTTTTGCACGTCCACACTATGCTCCTTGTGTCAGCGGTGCGTGTCTTCACCATGAGCGCTCGCACTGATTCAGCGTGGGGCACTGTGGGATGGCTTCTGAAAGGCAGCAACAGCCCATGTAAGCAACGCAGTGTCTAGAGTGACACTGCATCGACCTAGTTACATCAACCTAAGTGCTATGCCTCTCGTGGAGGTGGAGTTATTGAGTCGGTGTAGTGGGCGAGTTACAGCAGTGGGAGCTGCATTTTAGTGCATCTGACGAAGTGAGTATTCACTCACGAAAGCTTATGCTCCAGTACATCTGTTAGTCTATAAGGTACCACAGGGCTCTTTGTCGCTTTTTACAGATCCAGACTAACACGGCTACTCCTCTGATTTTAGTGTAGACACTTACCGAGTTGGGTTGAAGTAAACTGCCTTACGTTGAACTAACTCTGTAGTGTAGACCAGGGCTAAGTGTATAGGCTTTGCTAATACTGTTGTTTTTGGGGATGTTGTGTGGGGATTTTGTTGTGTTTAATGAAAAAGCTATTTTAATTAAAAGGATTAAAATGTAATGGCTGTGCTGAGTGACTCTCAGCCAAACAACTGATGCTAATTCCAAGATGATGTTATCAAAAAGACATCTGTAATTGCTGTGATAACACACTGCAGTCCTCTAAATTTATTCAGTCCTCATTCTGCTCTTTCTGAGACTGTCTGCCTGCCTCTGTCCTCAGTCAAAATGTGCAGCATAATATGGAAATGTCAGGAAAAAGAAAAGGGTAGTATCCATCCTATAACTAGAAGAAATATATTAGTTCTGAAACATTTCCCCCTTTGTTACAAAATCTCCTGTCAGTACAATCTGACCCCAGTGCATTTAGTGGTCAGTGCTGCAGGGGAAAGCATGTCTGTTAACACTCAAGTGGGT